GCAGTGACCGCATCGATAAAGCTTTGGAAGATAGTGGAAAAGCCAGAAGATAATCAAGAACAAGAAGATGTTGTGATTGATTGATGCTCTCCCTTGTAAATTATCCATTCAGTTTCAAGTTTTTCTAGATACCCGTTATTGGACGAAAGCTATAATAAAAAACAGTATTATTTCAATGTTTTCTTATTCTTCTTATTTAAGAAAAGGGAGGTTTAAAGTAAATAAACATAAAAATGGCACTAATTATCACCTGATTTAATTTAAAATTCAATTTAAATTAGATTTTGAATTACTAAATTGAATTATTTTAATGAACAAGTAAAGTATTGCAATGAATATATAATATAAACTTCAAGATTTTTAGCTAGCTAATCATCATCATAGTTATCCAGCGGGGAGGAATTAATTAAGCTTATGATATAATTGCATGAATTAAAAACTTGAAATTCAAAGTTAATTTTTATGAAATTTAATTACTAATAAATAGCAATAAATATTAAAGAGAGGTAATTAACATGATTACTCAAGCTCATTAATTAAAATCTATCCTATATGCAATAATGATATGCAAATATAGAGATGGGAAAACAAATTGAACTAGTTGGTAAGGGTATCGATGGATTCTTATTCTTTATATCCTGTAGAAATGGGAGGGGATGGTGACTTTGTGGGTAAGGTATTAAAGATTAAACATGCCTTAAATTGGATTTTAATGTTTGTGTACATCCCTGCCTTCTGTACTAGGTTTTTAATATCAAATTGGTGTTTGAAATCCGTAAAATCTATAGCAACGTGGAAGTGAATTGTGCGGTGTAAGAATGTTGACCCATCCTTCAATTTCCATTGCCTTTTGTGCGCGTTTATAGCATGGAGTCTTCTTACCTTACACGATCGAGAAACTTAACTCAGACAAAAGCATCATTTGTTCCTTCGTGTGAATATGTATTAGCTTCAAGTCTTCACATGCATTTACATTGTGTTTGGTTAGCATACGAGAATAAAATAAATAAACATAAAAGGAACAAAAATATATTTAATTAAAATAATAAGAATAGAAACAAAAACATAATTTTATTTTTTTTAAGTTCAATGAATAAACAAAAAACCAACTTGGATTTTAATGCCTAATGTGACCGGGAGACTAGTCTTCAGCAAAATCATCAACTACCCCTTGAATTCAGATCACGAAACCTTCACGCCAGAGTCTCGGGGACCGCTTGCTACAGGGCCAATAAATACAAGTCAAAAAACAAACAAAACGCAGAGAAAGAGAGGCGGGCGTGCCATGATTTTTCCTCGTTCAATGTCGACCTTCTTCCAGGTATGAAATGGAATCGCACGGTTTGGGTTGCTTGATTCATGAAGATTAAGGATGATGTGTAAGCCGATCTGGCCCACACTGTTTTGGGATTGGACGGAAGGTCAGCTCATCGGGGATGGCTTGACTTTCCATATCCCGGGTCCGGGTCCCACCCACCCACCCACTTGGCGCTCTTGATTGCAACCTCTCTTAAGTCTCAACACCGTCGAAAATCACGGGAAGAGTAATTCCAATTCTCTACAACAAATATCCACAATAAACATATAAATATTATTAAATCCAAACAATTCAAACCTATCATGAAATATATATATATATATTTTTCGTATTGAGTGTGTATGCACGCACGCTTAAAACCTTTTTTTTTATGTATAATATGCACACATATATATATATGTATATATATAAAATTTCACCGTTCAATATACACACATGTATCTCAAATATATAAGTTATTATTTTATTTTATATTGAATAATAAATGAATACTCCCGAAACACTATGGTTATAATATAAATATTTAATTTTTTTTATTTATTAAACATGAATATAGTAAAAGCCCGATGCTACAGACCCAAATCCCTGTTTGGAAGGCCGTCGAGGACAAATTCTCTCTTTCGTAATTTATTGCATATAGCAGAACAGAGGTTCCGGTCCTCCTCAAGCAAATTGCAAGGTCGTGCTGATCTTTATAGTCAACCAAGAAATAGAAGATAACACATGAAACGACATTAAATGCATCCTCCAAGCGATTATATGAATATAACTCTTATATTATATAATATTTTCAAATAGATTTAATTTATTTTTGAATGTACTAATCCAGAACTTCGAATAAAAAAGATAAATCTCCTTCGTCATCTATATTCACTAACATGTCATGTATTATCAAGTGCCTATTGTTGGGCGGGTCACACGTCGTCGTTTTTGGTACTGGCATCTCTCTTCCCATTGATATCTTGTAGCATCCATGTCGTCGTTTTTGAAGGGTCACACGCAATAACCAAGATATATTAAGTAAACATGGCCCCTTGACAGGGCCATGTAATACGAGGATTAAGTAGTTAAATTTTCAATAATTAGACTGACGCACTTTATAATTTTTTTAATTACTTTTGGAAATTGACAAGTCCGTATTGGAGCTCCTTGGAGATATTGAAAATTAGTGCGTGTTAGTTTTCCATACCGTTTCTCTAACATACAAACCCTACCAACCAAAGATACGTGTTTAACTCATACTTATTAAAGTTGCATGAGTTTTCAATTTGGAATAATATCTAAGTGTTAATTTTTATATATATATTTTTAAATAAATCAACAGATTTTAAATGAGTTGATTAAATGACGGATCAGACTAGATTTTTCGGTCCGTCAAGCTAAATTAACTACATCCTATTTATTATGAAAAACTACCATGATCAAACCATGAATCCATTAAATTCTGAATTGATTCACTAAGTTAAGTGAAGTTTAATAACCAAATTTCAAATTAGGCCATACTTTTCATATTTTAATCCAAGCAAGTTCACATGATTACATAGCCTAGTTGGATTCGAGTACTTATGAGGTTGTAGGTTTATTTTATGAAAAATTAAAAACAAATACTGGTTTTAAGTTAGGGATAAAAAAACTAGTTTGATTTTTAAAAATTAGATTTATTTTGATAAATTAAAATTAATTTATTTTATTTTATATAAGGTTAAATTTATAAGTTTGATACATTAATTCAAGAGTTTTTTTTTATAATGAAAAATAAAAATAATATTGGTTTGTTTAAATTGGGGAATAAAAAACTAGCCCCAAATTTCAAAAACCAAATTTATTTTAATTTATAAAAATACTCTTTAGAATGAAATTACATCACCATCGCCTATAATCAAAGCAATAAATCAAAATAAATTAATCTTGGAAGTAAAAACCTAAATAATTAAATCAACTCAATTGTTGAAAAAACCTGTTTAACAAACACCTTTTGATTAGTAACAAACAGAGAGTTTTGACTCCTAACAAACACTCCCTGTTTTCCTGCCGAAATTCAAGCATGAAAGATCAAATTACATTTAGTTAATCACTTTTGAAGAGTCCCCACAACCTTTGATCCCATGAAACAAACGTACGGTGAAGATACAGCATTGTACTTGAAACAAATCAAAAAGGTTTTCGGAATCCCAGAAAACAATAAGAAACTCAGCCTTATCTCTAAGATCTCTCGTTATTGATAATTGGTGGGCAACTATATCGGAAAAAACTTGTAAGGTTGCGGATTATCGGACGAATTATTTTTATTGCCATCACAATGTTTTATTTATTTGTATTTAGTGGTGGCATGACAGGGTCTAAACTGGATTAGATGGAGTTAATCCTTGCCAGGTTTATATATTATCTGATTGATTTAATTACTAGAAATCCAACATAGATTAGGTCTCAAATCCTATGATTTTCATATCAAACCGTCAGCCGAACCGGTTTAACAATTTCGCCAATGATAGCTCTTGGTGTTGGAAACTTACGGTGGTTTTGGGGACATGAGAAGACAGCCCCGGGAAATGAATTAGTTAAATTAAATTAGGGTTTTCGAGGGGGCAAAAGCTTGGATTTTTTTTTTTAAGAATTGTCATACTAAATTAAAAGTTTCGATGGACTAATACCACTTAAAAAAGAAATACAGTAAATTAATATTTTTTTTATTTTATTATACCTCTGAAACATGATATTTATTAAGTATTATTATTTTTAAATCTTTAAATATAACAAGATAATTGTCGGGCTTCATGACAATAATATTTAAATGTATCATGTTTTTAAAGGGTTTACCGATTAATATTTTATTTTAAATATATTTTATAAGTAAAAATATATATCTTTATTTAAATTATAAATTAAAAAATAAATTTTAATTAAAATTATAATAACTTATTATTCATGCAGACTTGGATGAGTTGCAACTGAGTGATAATGGCACAGACAAACACTAAAATCAAATACTTCTTGATTTTACTTGGAAATTGGATTATTTTAAAATTTTATATCTTTCTTTTTAATTGTAAACTATTATTTATCTCAAGAGCATTGATATATTAAATACTAGTCAACATAATCAACAAATATAAAAAACTGGAGTCGTGCGTGATCATACCTTCGATCAATTTTGTTTTTCATGTTGAATGTATAGCTAGTTTGAGGGTCTGACTAATTGAAACACTTTCCCAAAAAGAAATGTGTTTATAGATTTAGAAATTTTAATTTTTAATTATTTAATTTAGAATAATTTCGTTATTGTTCTTAGTGTCGATGTTACCTTTTTTACTATTTTTTAGTATCCAATTGACAATTCTAAACCTAACTTGATATTCCAACTAATATTTACAATAATTCTCGTCATCGAACAACTCTCATAAGAAATTCCTTTTCATTTATTTGAAAAATATTCTATTAAGTGGAGATCTAAATATTAAATCATTTAAATAATTATTTCCTTTCTGTCAACATTCAATTAATCGAAAATTGATAACCACCTCGATTTGGGTTGAAATATTTTGTGGGAGGGCATGCCCCTTGGCCATTACAGATAGAAAATGGCGGGGGGAGGGATCAACTCGGGCGGGTCAAATCTTGCCCGATAGGGAGTCGAGAACCCCTATTAAGTTCCAACACCCACTCTTGTCTACAGACCCGTGTGTGGCATCTCTCTACTGCAAATCCCACAAATCTCCCTGCCACGTAGGCCACCCACCTCTGTATAAATTCTAGCTCAAGCAACTCCCCTGCCTCTCGCCTTCTTCTTCAGAAAACTCTCAACTTTTCTCCCTCTGAATTCTCCATCTCCCCCCCCCCCCCCCCCCCCCCGCCAGCTAATATTAGTATGATTCTGTAGTTTTCTCTTTAATTTTGTTTATATTTTGAGGGTTTTCTCCGGCAAGGCTAAACCATGTCCAGCAAGGGCGGCATCAGTCTTGAAGAGATAAAAAATGAGTCTGTTGATCTGGTATGTACTCTTTTCTTCTCCTTCTTCACCCTCTCCTTTTACCCTTTTTTTGTTTGCATGTGTGTTTGGTTGCTGAGAAAGTGAAATCAATGAAATCATCATGTCTACCATTATCTATCGAACTATCTCTCTCTCTCTCTCTCTCTCTATATATATATATATATATATATATGCGTGTTTGGTTTCTGAGAAAATTATCACGCTGTTTACTTTACGAGATTTTTCGAAAAACTATATGGAATCATTCTTCTGTTCATACTTAAATGCTGATTTTTTCTTTAGTTTTTGATTTCTCTAAAAATCAATCTTCGATATTGTATGTTGTGATTAATTTTTTTCACCTTGAATTTTTTTTTTTTATTTACTTTGATTTTTACCTTAATTATAGACCACAATTCTAATCTCAAGTTCGATTTTTCCTTTAACAAATTTACTATTATGTCTTGGAAAAGGCAACTAAATAAATAAAGTAATTTTATTTTGAATTTTCAGTTACGTTAAGAAAAAAATATCTAATCAAGTCGAAGACTTACCTTATTTTGCAGGTCATTAATTTCGGCGATAATTTTGACTTATATATATATATATCAACAAAACCAGCCAAAACTTTAAATAAATAAAATATTACCATAAATAATAAACGTTGCCTTTTGGAAACCCCAAGGGTTTTTTTACTCCACCTTCACGTGAGGTTTTGCCTTAAATGATGACGTGGATTGTCTTTTCAATTTTCTTTTACAATAATAGGGATAATTTTTATGAATTTATCATATTTTTATCTTTGAATTAAATAATTTTTTTTTATAATAATAATGATAATTTGGATTAATTTATCATATTTTTATCTTTGAATTAAATAATTTTTTTTTATAATAATAATGATAATTTGGATTAATTTATCATATTTTTAACTTTGAATTAAAGCTTTTTAAACCCGGATTGGTTCAGGTATTGTAGGGATAAAATAACATTGGAGCAAATCCATTTATTTATTTTTCTCAGATAATTTTATTTTGATAAAATAATAAAAAATTTAAGATAATTCTTTAGTGTTTGTATTTGACGCAAACATACTAATTTTGTTTCTGTGCTTTTAGATAAAGCGTCTTTTGACGCGTGTATTGTAGTGGTTTAAATTTGATTTAATTACCGTTTAAAGAATTTTATGAATAGTGTTTATAATTGAGGCAAACATAATGATTTCAGGGTTTTTTCTATGGTTGATTCTTTTTTTAACCTAACCACATGCTTTTTTTAACACAAACAAAATATGTTTTTTTTTTTATTAATAAATGATCTGTATGATTTGAGCAATATGGATTTTGTACTTTACAGTTGTAGTCCCTTTTTGGTGTTAGCTTATTGAGCAGAAAGATTTTTTTTTTTTTTTTAATATAATGTTTGGACTTTTAGTGTAATTAAGCAAGGTGGTTGAAATTTTTTAATTTTGGAGACTTTGAAGACAAAATATTTGACCATGGTGGATTCATTGACCAACCTCAGCTCAAGCTGATATGTTATCTGCTGCCCATGTTTACACACCATGGTTTTGGTTGCCAGCTTGTGAAAAATTTTGGGTTTATTATTTTATTTCCATTATGATTTTTCACTCAAGAAATTGTTATACAAGATGTAGCTAGACAAATCTTGTTTCCAATTGGCAATCCAAGTTCCCAAATCCAAAAAAAAAAAGGTTTAAATTTAATTAAAGATATAAAACAATGTACAATAGTTGGACATACTTTTGGTATGAGATACTGTATGTACTCTTGTCAGTTAGATTTTGTGATGGTATGATGTCAGGACTAATAATGTTGCAGTAAACTACTGTAAGAAGGTATATGGTGTGTCATTTTGAGTTGGGTTCATGATAATCATGGAAAGAATTTCTTGTTTCTTAGTAGTTAATGTTGTTTTCTTTGCAGGAGAGGATTCCCATGGAGGAAGTGTTTGAGCAGCTGAAATGCACAAGAGAAGGTCTGTCGGCAGACGAAGGAGCCAGCAGACTTCAAGTGTTTGGACCAAACAAACTAGAAGAGAAAAAGGTCAGTTTTTGTAACCTTTTACTCATTATTGAACAACCAAATGGAAGAACATATTAATAAGAGTGTTAGCTATTTGATGCTACTGAGTTTTCTGCTAAATTTGAGGTTTGGTGTTTGATGAGCAGGAAAGCAAGATTCTCAAGTTTCTGGGATTTATGTGGAATCCATTGTCATGGGTCATGGAGGCTGCTGCATTGATGGCCATAGCCTTGGCTAATGGTGATGGAAGACCTCCAGATTGGCAGGATTTTGTTGGGATTGTTGTGCTCTTGGTGATTAACTCCACTATTAGTTTCATAGAGGAAAACAATGCTGGTAATGCAGCAGCAGCCCTCATGGCTGGTCTTGCTCCTAAGACTAAGGTGATGACTGAACTCACAAGTTCTTGCTCTATACTTCAGTTCTTGCAACTACTGCAAGATTATTTAATCATTTATGTTGGAAAAAATTCAGGTTCTGAGAGATGGCCGATGGAGCGAGCAAGATGCTTCAATCTTGGTTCCAGGAGACATTATCAGCATTAAATTGGGAGACATCGTTCCGGCTGATGCTCGTCTTCTCGAGGGTGATCCTTTAAAGATTGATCAATCTGCCCTTACTGGGGAGTCACTTCCTGTCACCAAGAACCCTTCTGATGAAGTGTTTTCTGGCTCAACATGTAAACAAGGTGAAATTGAAGCAGTTGTGATTGCCACTGGTGTGCACACCTTTTTCGGTAAGGCTGCCCATCTTGTGGACAGCACCAATCAAGTTGGACATTTCCAGAAAGTTCTTACTGCCATTGGTAATTTCTGCATCTGCTCAATTGCTGTTGGTATATTCGCCGAGCTTATAGTGATGTACCCTATACAACATCGCAAGTACAGAGATGGAATTGACAACTTGCTGGTTCTCTTGATTGGAGGAATTCCCATTGCTATGCCTACTGTTTTATCTGTCACCATGGCTATTGGTTCCCACAGACTTTCTCAACAGGGTGCTATTACCAAGAGAATGACTGCCATTGAGGAAATGGCAGGAATGGATGTTCTTTGCAGTGACAAAACTGGGACTCTAACTCTGAACAAGCTTACTGTTGATAGGTCCTTGATTGAAGTGTTTGCGAAGGGTGTGGAGAAGGAGCATGTTATCCTTCTTGCAGCAAGAGCTTCAAGGACTGAAAATCAGGATGCTATTGATGCAGCGATTGTAGGGATGCTTGCAGACCCGAAAGAGGTATAGCCAATTCAATGCAGTTTTCTCCGAGTTCTCTGTATCTGAGGCTGCACAAAAAATCAGGACTTAACAGCTATGATTTTCATTGTTTGGCAGGCACGAGCTGGGATCAGAGAGGTTCATTTCCTTCCATTCAACCCTGTGGACAAGAGGACTGCTCTGACCTACATTGATTCTGATGGAAACTGGCACCGGGCTAGCAAGGGTGCCCCCGAGCAGGTAAGATGCTTTTCCTTTTACCAATTCAGGGATCAACATTCAGAGTAATAACCACCTGCTCATTCCCCATTTCATGTTTCTATGCAGATATTAACTCTGTGCAATTGCAAGGAAGATGTTAAGAAGAAGGTTCATTCTGTGATTGACAAGTTTGCTGAACGTGGACTTAGATCTTTAGGTGTTGCAAAACAGGTCTGCAATTTAGTGTTTATCTACATCTTGTCACTGTGCTCTTAAAAAAAACCCGATCTTATTGTTTCTTTCATTTAATGAAATGTATGCAGGAAGTACCTGAGAAATCAAAAGATGCTGCAGGTGCACCATGGCAGCTAGTTGGTTTGTTGCCTTTGTTTGATCCTCCCAGGCATGACAGTGCTGAAACCATCAGAAGAGCTCTCCACCTTGGTGTTAATGTTAAGATGATTACTGGTAAATTTTGTTTCAATCTCCCTTGGAAATTTGCTCTGATGCGATTTCTTAGATTTTGTTTGCTTCCTCGATGTCCAGGGGATCAGCTTGCAATTGGCAAGGAAACTGGCAGGAGGCTTGGAATGGGAACAAACATGTATCCCTCTTCTGCATTGCTTGGCCAAGACAGAGATGCTTCTATTGCGGCTCTGCCTGTGGATGAGTTGATTGAGAAGGCCGATGGATTTGCTGGAGTTTTTCCAGGTGACTTCAGCTGCTTTATTATCAATGTTTCTCTCTCTCAAAGATTGTGCATTTTCAGCCCCCTCTCCCCTCACCAATTTTAGCATCGTTTTTTACTGACTCTCATTTTTTTTTAGGATTTTGATTACTTTTTATCGTGTTTCCTAGTCTTAGCACTTTTTTTTTATATATATTTTTTACAGAACACAAATATGAAATTGTGAAGAGGCTACAGGATAGGAAGCACATCTGTGGAATGACAGGAGATGGTGTTAATGATGCCCCTGCTCTGAAGAAGGCAGATATTGGAATTGCTGTTGCCGATGCAACTGATGCTGCCAGAAGTGCTTCTGACATTGTCCTCACTGAACCAGGGCTTAGTGTTATTATAAGTGCAGTGCTGACCAGCAGGGCTATATTCCAAAGGATGAAGAATTACACTGTTAGTTACATTTTCTGCTTGTTTTATTTCTGTGTCCAAAGGAGTAGAATTTTTGAGAGTCTAACTATCTCTGATCTGGTCGTTCTCTTTGGCAGATATATGCAGTTTCAATTACCATTCGTATTGTTGTAAGTACCAAATTACATGTGAAGTTATGCTACTTTATCAATCCGAGACACTGATTCAAATTCTTGTTCTATTTCTTCTCAAAATGGCAGTTTGGCTTCATGTTTATTGCCCTGATATGGAAGTTTGACTTCGCTCCATTCATGGTTTTGATTATTGCTATTCTAAATGATGGTGAGATCTTGAGCTTACTCTTCTGTATATTTGCATAATTCTCTTTACGCAAGTTATTATTTGACTGAATTATCTTGAGAACAATTCTGACTTTGTTTATCATCAAACGTCTAGGAACGATCATGACAATATCAAAGGATCGAGTGAAGCCATCTCCACAGCCTGATAGTTGGAAACTTAAAGAGATATTTAGTACTGGCATTGTGCTTGGAGGTTACATGGCACTGATGACAGTATTATTCTTCTGGATTATGAAAGACACCGACTTCTTTTCAGTAAGAATACTCCTCAATCTCACTATCGATTTGTGGTTTTGTTTATTTAGGTTTTTATGTATTTATACATTTTTGGTTATGCAGGATAAGTTTGGTGTCAGGTCACTGAGAAAAAACGATGAGGAAATGATGGCAGCCTTGTATTTACAAGTGAGTATCGTGAGCCAGGCACTTATTTTTGTCACAAGATCTCGCAGCTGGTCTTTTGTTGAACGTCCTGGATTCCTTCTCCTTGGTGCATTTGTAGCTGCTCAGCTGGTAAGGATTTATTCTATGGGCTTTATCACTATTTGTTAAACAACCATCCCTACCAGGCTTACTTTGTTATGGCCTGCATCATGTTTTTTAAAGAATGGTAATGTGCTTTATTAACCTTCTGCCAATGATAATCTTGGGATCCTCATGCTGGATGCCAAATATTTTGCTTATATTTTAGAAAATGAATCAGATCAGATTATTAGCAAAACCTAATGCATCGCCTTGAACCATTCTTGAATGACAGATTGCAACATTGATAGCAGTCTATGCAAATTGGGGTTTTGCACGTATTAAGGGGTGTGGCTGGGGATGGGCTGGAGTAATCTGGCTATTTAGCGTGGTGACATATGTGCCGCTTGATATCCTCAAATTCGCAATCCGCTACATTTTGAGTGGGAAGGCATGGGATAATCTCTTGGAGAACAAGGTATATTTTTTCATAACAAAATCCTGAGTCTGAGTCTGTTTCTCTGCCTCGGCATCTTTTTTATTTGCTCATTCGCTATCCTTGTAACAGACTGCCTTTACTACAAAGAAAGACTACGGCAAAGAAGAGAGAGAAGCTCAGTGGGCCACAGCTCAGAGGACCCTCCATGGCCTTCAACCTCCTGAGACCTCCCACAATATGTTTTCTGAAAAGAATAGTTACAGGGAGCTTTCTGAGATTGCCGAGCAAGCCAAGCGGAGGGCTGAGATGGCAAGGTAAGCAAGCCGTATTCCTTATGTTTCATATTCAAAGAATGGGGGAACGAGAAAGCTCTTGTTTTTCTACGATCTTTTGTTATTACCTTGATACTCATGAAGGATGGTTTTTACAGGCTGAGGGAGCTAAACACCCTCAAGGGGCATGTTGAATCAGTGGTGAAGCTGAAGGGACTGGACATTGATACAATTCAACAACACTACACAGTTTGAAGAGTCTCAAGTCTTGACGAGAACAAACTCTTCGGAGAAAAGCCGAGCTGAAAGCTAAGTATATGATGACGAAGATGACGAAGAAGGCTGGAAGCGAAAATCATTGAAATTAGACTAGAATGACACTCCTCTTGCTATAACTTAAGGGTACCTTTTTGTTGTTTGTTATCTACCTTCAAACCTAGAGGGGATTGTTGCTCCTTCAGGAGCTAAATATAATCAGCCACACATTTTCTCCGCTGTACCATTTTTCTATCGTCTTTAATTCTACGTTGTCTGCATCAATCTTATGTTGCTGATAGAGTGATGCAATTATTTGCTTTAAAATTGTATCAAATGCCCCTTGTTTCCATAGAAACTTGAGCATTGGGAACATGAGAGAAGCCTTCTGTCATGAGCAAGCAATCTTAGGTAGGGCGTTCTGTAAGCAATTGAGAAATCACAAAACCAGTCCTGAGACAGGTAAAAGGACTTTCCTAGGGCTTGACTACAGGGTTTGCAGAAAGGAAAACAATTCGAGTCCGCGGCATTCAACAAGGGCCCAAATTAGCGACGTTGATGGGAATATGTTTAATATACTTGATATCTAACGTAAAACAGAGAATTACTTGAGATTGAGAGAAGCTGTAATTCGATATTCATTGAGGAAAGACAATCAAGACTTCAGTTTACGCCGGGGCATGTCACCCATGTCATGACACGAATCCCCTGAAGATGCATTTGAGTAGTATCCCATAACAAAAAGATAAAAACGTACATGTTTGATTCCAGACATAAATCAAGAAAGACAGAGGAGCACGTTCTTTTAATCGTATCTGTTTATGTCTCTTCTATTTCAAGAAAAAATGTCTCCAAGCACAACCAGGAACAAATTGATGTGCATTGGTTGCTTTTTTTCTTACTTGAAGTGTTCGTGCCTCATGAATATAATAGTAGCAGAAGGATATTGTCAATGCATTGGTAAAATTTCATTTAAGACGTTCGAAAAATGATATCGTATTTGATATTCCTGTACATAGGATGACACTACGTTTTCTTCGAATTTTTTCATCAGGAAGAGGGGGAAAGAAAATTTCCAGTTTTAGCTTGTCCTAATCATCTCTAAGCAACAGTATAAAGAGTTTACTCCGGCACTATTATGATATAGTTGTACAGATCAGAAGTTTTCTGCCAAAAAACTGAAGCCCTTACTGGGATTCCTGTCCTCAGATCTTCACTGAACAACTTCTGGCAGCCTCAACACGATCTCTGCATATGGATAATAAGCAAGTAGCGAATCAGGCAAATAGAAAAGAAACAGGAGAGAGTGAAGAGCAGTAATAAAGTATGGAACAGGAAAGCATGAAATGCACAGAAGTTTCTTCAAATGCAACACGGATCGAAAACAATCTAACACCTGCTGGCAGAAAATGCATCGAAGGAGAACCCGGAGAAAACTAAGTGGAAAAAGACTAGGTAAACATCTAAACCAGCATCAGCTAGACTACACTTCCAGCTTATCTCACAAAATACCTTGTTTATCCTCTAAAAACATTTATAACTATGTGTTTCCATTTACAAGCAGGTTATGGAATGATCCAATGAAAAACTGATGGAAGTAATTAGGAAAATATGAATTGTCAACTTTCACAGCAAGCCAGTCAACCTCACTTGTTTCACCAGAAATCATGCAAATAAAAATATAAACTATAAATGAAAGGTATCTTTTGCTTGCTTGACTTTCTTGCATGATACCCAGCTGGCAGGATTTCTCCTTTAGGAGCTAAATTGGAGAGCTAAATATAATCTGATGTTGCCTCTTGTTTTACAGAAAAGCATCCTCTGCCTAAGATAGGCGAGTTGAACTAGGGTGAGTTCCCAGCACTTCGCTTTTCTTGAACTGATCAACTGGCCATGCAATGATTCTGACTCGAGTTGGAAGCACAGACAGAGACGAGGCCTGCGTATCTAAGACTGACTATTACCTTGCTGCAACAAGAAAAGGCATAGAAAAACATCAGAATAGGTGGAAACATATCCAGTATGTGCGCGGTACAAGATTCATCATTAACGCCATAGAAACTGAAAAAAGCAATCATACAATGATTTTGCTACAATTCCCATTTAGCAACAAAATATTTGCAAAATATCTACAAAGTTAGTGAAGTTAAAGTTTCATTTAAATAAAACTCCACAATAATTTAAAAAAAAACACCATTTTTTTCAATCAAATCACTCACAAATAAACTATTAATTACTGCATTATTAATTAGTTATTTAATTTAATTAAATTAATGGGATTGAATCACTTCAAATTAGGAGCGAAGGGTTGATTTTCAATTTAAATTAGAGGATTTTATTACACTGAATTTAAATATGCAAAGAATGTATAGATTAAGCATTATGGTCTTAATTTCTAAGGCGACCCTCTACTTTACAATAAGTATTTTTTTTATATATTTTCCATTCAATTAAATAATAGCATATGATATTTATTCTGTGTTTATTAAACCCAGTCCAGTTTAGTAGGTTGGTTTAAAACCCAGGCTAGAAATACTCATCTCCTTAGAACTTCAAGCCTCGAAGAAGAGAGATTACATCAGGCAAGAAATACTCATCTCCTTCGTCCTGAAGTGTTGTTCTTTTTCCAAAAGTATCCATGTGATTCATGCTTATGATGGTGTATGATATGGTATGCTTGAAAGGTCCGTCCACAGGAATCAGGATGATGTTTGAATACAATAAGCGCCTCGACAACAATTAGGATATGCTACAGGTTCATACCAACGAGGATAGTCTATGATCCTCTGTTTGACCTAAAGAATGAAACACAAGGCCCTTTGGAGCAACAGTGTCGAAAAGAGAGAATGCCAGAAAGAACAAGGTTACTGTAGAGGCTTTATTATACATAGCTCATGATTATTTGTTCACGTATTTAATACCGCGAAAAATAGTTTGAGAGGGAAGGAGACATGCGGGAAATGAGATACTCTTAGGAATACAGGAACCTTCGTATTAGTGAAGTTCTTATTATTAGTACTAATGTTTCTTCTTTAAGTAGGAAAACAGAATGATGATTAGAAATTTTTGAAATCTTTCATATTTTTGTTGTGTCGTCCGTGAGTAGAATATGGTTCTAGTGCTTGGTTCAGTAAATGTTTATGTTGAGAAACTGTTGGGTGGCACTGCTTCCTATTCATGTAAAAACATGGGATCCGGGTTCCTGGCCTGATTTTGGGAGGCGCTTGTTTCTTTTTACTACTGTTGGGTGGCACTGCTTCCTATTCATATAAAAACATGGGATCCGGGTTCTTGGCCTGGTTAGCCTGGTTTTGGGAGGCGCTTGTTTCTTTTCACTGTTTTTAGGTTTGAGTTTTTATATATATATTTATTATTCCTGTAATGTTTTATATGTTAATTAGATTTGTAGAATGTTTATTAAATTATAAGATTAATTGTGATACTCGCAAGTTAACTCGAATATTTACATAAATAAAAAATACAAAAACATGGAATCTATTACTCCACCGCTATAGGATCTTCTTTTATGTAATTTTGAGTATGTTTAGAAATACAATGTAAAATATTTTTGTTTTAAATTTAAATTTTTAGTTAAAATTTAATATATTTGAAAATTTAAATTTTTAGTTAAAATTTAATACATTTGATATATTTTGAATTTTTTTACTATACTGATATTAAAAATAATTTTTAAAAAATAAAAAATATTATTAATATATATTTTAACATAAAAAATTATTTAAAACATACCGGCAATTACACTGCCAAATAACATCACAAGTGATAAACTCAGCCTGACTTACGAGGATGGATCCGAGAAATTCAAGGTTCCTGACTTGAGCTATGTTTTTATTTAAATCAAAGTTCTCTGCTTATTGGGTTTTAGTGACTGATTGATTCAACATGATCCACAATTAAAGCAAAAAATAATAAAACATTACTGTTTTAATAAAAAACTTACCTAGAAAATCACATATATTATGGTAATCCAAACTCTTTTCTGGGTCAGCCCCCTGATCGAGAGTCCACTGGAAAAGTACTGCTAGCAAAGTGAATAATTCTTTTAACAGAATAATGCGGGAGTTCTGGTGAATCTTGTTTGAATCCATGTTATTAGCCGTCAAAACAATAAGACTAGAAATTTCAGTGAGCATTTGATTTAGGCTGACATGTGTGAGTTAATTCAATTATAAGGTGATTCAGCCTTTTTTATTAAGTACTTTTTTCTGAGCTCTTTTTTTTTTGTTTATTTATAAAACTGAAATTACAAATTTTTTTATTGGTACAAAGTCTTGGACAATTAAAAACTTTAACCATATGAATATGAATCATATTTTATTGACTAAAACAATTAATTATTTTTAAATTAATTAATTAATTTAACTTGTTTCAGCTGGTCGATCAGTATCTTTATTTTTAACATTCTTTTTAAACTTGATTTTTTAATGATTCTCAACAAATTTCTCATTTTGATAAAAATATCATATTTGAGTGAGTTTGTAAATATATATCCATGAGTTAGTAATACTTGACTTAACTTCCTTTTTGTAATGCAATCTCATAGAAAATAAAATTTTATGTAAATATAATTATTTTTATTATAAAATACTGGATTATTTATTAATACAATAACTAATAATTTGTCTATATAAATTTCAATAAATTTTTCCTGTGTCAATCACAATTTATTCAATAATAATTTTAGCCATTTAGAATAATAAACATATAATGTGTGGATACATATTCAATTTTAACTGTTAATAAAGTGGTTATGAATTGTTTTTTTGAATTTTATATAAATACTATATTTTTCATGTAAAAAACAAAACTTATTATGTTTTTTTTTTATCATTTTATCTTTAACCTAACGATTATCATTATAATCCCTAACGATTATCATTATAATCCCCAAGTTTAAGGCTATTAAAATAATAATAGAATAAGCTGGAATTAACACTACTTTGATATACTGCTTGAATGCTTCGATATACATCTTGTTATGCTTTGATTGGTTCATATACATGAAAATGATGGAAACGTTGATATACTTACAAAAGGTAATGCGTTTTGTTGAGTTTCTCCGATCGATTTATCTTAATTAATGCTCTTTTACTCAAGTAAAATCAACTTGGTATGCATTAATTGGTTGTTCTTGCAGTTCATACTAATTTGCGCTTTAGGCCTGCTGGTCTTAAGCAACTTTTGCAGCGACCATCTAAGAGAATTTATTAACTTCTATCATGCATAATATCAAGTTAATTTGGATTTTTCAAGACCAAAATCAAGCCTGAGCACATAACTGATATCAGAATGTTTTTTATTATCGAATTAAAAGAAATAATAGTGAGAAAAATTGAAATTCTTTTATTTTAAAATTAATTAATCTTTAAGATTAAGACAGTCTTGAATTCGATCTTTTTGTTGTTGTTTAGAATAAAATTGATAACATAGATGATATTGTGAATACTTAAGAAACATGGACTAAAGTAGAATGTTACGAAAACTGAGGAACCAAAATGTAGTACACCAAATTGTTAATTTTTAAGATTTCTTGTAAGTAGAATAATTAATCCCACGTGTCATAATGTTATTCAACAGGCCCCGCCACATATGCGGGCCCGCGTATCAGAAAGACTAACAGTCAATCTTCACATTAAAGTCCAAAAATCACATCTGGTCCTTCCTTGTACATTTATTAGTCAATTCGAATCCTCTATTTTAACTCTAACCAAATCAACCCCTTTACTCATAAGTGAAAGTGATCTAATTCAAATTACTTGTTAAACTTCCAGTTGAAATTCATGTATTATGATTTAATTGAAAATAAGATCAACCTTAGAGACTATCCTAGAAATTAAGAAAATTTGTTCCGTTTCTTTTCTTTTTTTTTTATTTTCTAAATTCAAATATTAGGATCAAATTATAGTTTTTAAATCTGATTTAGTTCAACAAGTTTATCTTTAAAAGCTATAATCTAAGGTTTTATTTTAGTTGAGTTTCAACTTGAATTAAAAAGACATAAACCTTGCAAGGTTAGATTAATTCGTGACTTGATTGTCCATTCAACCATGTATTGTTCATAAATTTTTGGATTGATTTTGTTGAGGAATACTAAAAACAATTGATTTATATTAACCCTATAATTTATGAGTTGATTCAATAATCTAAGTGATCTAAATCCTTTCTAGATCAATATTCTTTGTACATTGAGTCTATAAATTTGCGCCAATCACAATCAAGATTGTTTGGAATGGGGGACTTCGGTTTTTGTTAGCATTGATTCACATGAATAAACTACAGGGACTATATAAAAATATGGTGAAATTTAACTGCCATATATTTGCTTTCTGCGACAATCTGCCTACAAAACCGAAGAATCCCAGTTTCAGTTTTGACAAGACAAAATCACAGAGAGAGAGACAGAGAAGGGAAAAAAAAAAACATGGAGCGGATAGCAAATAATGTAGAGTCAATAAAGTCTATGAAGATCAGAGACACTCTAACTCAATTCATCACTCTTGGTTCGTTTTCTTTTTCTTCTCTTCAAAAAGATTGATTTTTTCTCCTTTCTTTTATTGATTTGTTGATTATTTTTGTTTTACAGGGATAATAGCGTCAACAGTTTTAATAATATGGAAAGTCTTAATGTGTTTAACTGGTAGTGAATCTCCTGTTGTCGTTGTTCTTTCTGGGAGTATGGAACCTGGTTTCAAACGAGTTAAGGATCCCATGTTTTTTTTTTTTCTTTTTTGGTTTAGATATGAATATGAACGTAGACAAGATGTGGTTTTTATGATGTTGTCTTGACTTGTAGCAGGGTGATATTCTGTTCTTGCATATGAGCAAGGCCCCAGTTCGAATTGGAGAGATTGTTGTGTACAGTGTAGAAGTATGTTCTTTGTTTCTCTGATTTGTTTTTGTTGATACGGTGACTGTTGAGATTTCTTGATCTTATATTTGATATTTTTTATTAGTCGATGTTTCTAGTATTTAGTACATCTTTTTGTTGAATTTTTGCGTATAGAAAATAATGGAGGAAATATGAGGGTAGCATTTGGTATCTTCTCGGAATAAAAGAGACAGAGACTTTCCATGTTTCCATGCACTTTTGTTTTGAGCACATCAATTTTATGTTCGTGTCTTCAACTCTTCGACCAGGCACGTTCTTGTCTCTTCTTTTTCTGTCCATTCTATTTTATAACAGTAACGAAACGCAAACAGGTGTTATTTCTTCATTGGTTACATAAAGGTGGGACCCGCCATTTACTGTTATGGGTCCCCCTTTTATGCGAGGGGAGCAGTAGTGCCATAATGCGGGTGTTTTGATGAATCTTGTTTGAACCCATTTTAGCTGTCTAAACCTCAACTGTAGGAACTTTTGTGGGAATTTGATATAAGCAGAGGTGCGTGGGTTAATTTAAGGCGATTCAGCTTTGTATTTACCCTAACACATAGAAGCCATTCCTGTGAATTTAGCTAACATGGACATTGTTTGGCACAAGGTTGTTCTCTTTTGCTTTGATTGTATGCCAGATCTATTTCTTTCTTCTTGCTCTCATGCATGTATTTAGTATTAGTATTCTTATTTTTACCCTGTGACTAACATATCTTCCACGCATTGCTAAGGGACGCCCGGTTCCAATTGTCCATCGAGTAATTGAGGTACCAATATCTGCGAGATTCCACTTGTTTTGTTATGTAAGCATGCTTGTCATTGTTTATTGTAGACTATGCTGGGCACTCTGCACAGGGTTGTTGAGAGTGTTAAGCTGACTACTTGGTTCCAAACTGAAAATGTATTCTTCATGGACATAGTGACCATATAGAAAGGAAACTACTACAAGGAAATATAAGCTTCTGTGCATCCACTCTTGTTTATTTTAGTGTCAATCATAGTATATTTCATGTTTCTCACAAGGAAGCATACCGATTGAACAAAAGAAGGAAGGCCCTTAGCTCATCTTGACCCCACTCACATTTCTTCTGGAACTTCAATTTGTATCTGCTGGCTCTGTAACCACCCACAGAATGAGTTAGGTTACCTGAATATTATTTGATTTTTAAAAACAAATTTTCATAATGTACATTTGTTATGCTTTGTAGGTTCACGAAGAGGAAAATAATGGAAATGTTGACATCCTTACAAAAGGTAACACGTTCTGTATCTCAAGCTGCTAAATTTCTATGAGTACTCATCTGCTTATCCTACCTAATCCTCTTCTACTCTCATGAATAAAATATGAAGATGAAATAAAATGAAGGATAAAAAGGGACAATCTTTCGGCCTATTAAGTCGTTTTATAAGGGATACAAGTGAAATGCTCTTAAAAAATATTTGATACTGATGTTCAATTTGTGATTGGCTAATTTTATCAGGAGACGCCAATCCTTTGGATGACAGGAGCTTCTATGCTAATAGTCAGCATTGGTTGAAGTCACAACAAATTATTGGGAGAGATGTTGCGTAAGTCGTTATGCATGTGTTTACATGTATTTTATTTGCAACATGAAATTGCAGTGTACATGGGAGATCATGGATTAACTCGAAAAGTACAGAAAAGTGGTGTTCTATATAGTTACTTCCACATGCTGTCATCTACTGATTTTGTCTAATATTTGTTTGATGACGAGATAATTCAGGCTGGTTAATATGTCCATCCAAATGAATGATTTACCAACTCCTTTTGACATAAGAAACACATATTTCTGTCTTATGATTCTCTTCTAAACGCTTTCTGCAATATCCGTAAACTAGTAATCGAGCCGAAGCATCAATTAATTCTCTTGATTTATGGGAGACTGAATTGTACCTTCTCTCCTGTAGGTTTGTGCCTTATGCTGGTTGGGCAACAATCATCATGACAGAAAAACCTATTATTAAGGTAGTTTAAAGGTTTTGAACCAACAGAGATATTGTTCTTTTGCCTTTCGAATCAGTCATAAAACTGCTAGAGATGCTCATTTCCCTGTCATATGAGAATAACAATTGACAACTGAAACTCTCAAGAGAAAATTAAAATCAAACCAGAAAGGAAGAAGTTTTTGCGTGCTGTGCTTTTTTTAGAGACTCCTTTCACTAGTTTTTGTGTAGAATATGTAACTTTGTTCTGGTTTTTCTTGCAGTACATGTTTATAGGCGTTCTAGGTCTGCTGGTCATAACCTCGAAGGATTAAGTAATCGAGTTTTCAGTACATGGATGATACAATACAAGCTCCCCCCTCCGAAACGGTGGCAAAGAAATTTAGATTTTTCGAATACCCACAGAATTTTGTAAGATTTGAGGGCTACATATCTTGTCCTGTGAACTGCGGATTAGGTTGATGGAACATATTTGCTGTGTTAAAAATCCGTTGCGCGTTGCCATACCTCTGAAAAAATTCTTCAGATCAATTTCTATCATGATCTAAGCTTGTATCTGCTTTCTGGAACATCGTGCCACTGTAAATGGGATAACTTCACAGGATTAAATACCTTTTATTATGAAAAATCAGTGTCATTTGTGCTATCTTGTCTAATATAACGCAAGGATCGTGGCAGAATTGCTTTGTCCCTGTGAAGGTAGAGTATCATCTGATAATTTGACATCAGTATGGCAACGATAACGAGAATAACATTAAAGGCTTTTAGTCAAGAGGTTGACCCTTCCATAGGTGGAAGCTGTCTGAGCAGGAGCCATGTTGCTCTGTAGCTGATGTGAAGTCACCTAGAGAACAACTGTCTGTAAAACCTCATCCCCACTTAATTTTCCAGAAATTTTGAAACCGTACATCCATATTTCCTTTAATTGAAGAGAGCGACGACTGCTGTGAGTTTGCTCTTGTCTAAATTCAAAGAAATGCTTCTTAAGACGTGTTTGGTTGCTGTCTCATAAAGACAGTAGAGAAACATTTTCTCTTTTAAAAGTAAAAAACTTTAAAATTATCCTATTTTATGTCTATTTTTCCGATCAAAACACGTTTATTAGATTTCAACACGCACGACACAACATCAATGATTACGAACAATACTAAATTTCGAGTTCTTAAAGTGTAGCCAAAATCACTCCCCGAAGAATTCCAGCCATCATATTTGAGGTATCCATAAGCATCCGTATATATTCAAGTCCCTTTCCATACTTGGCAATAAAGTTGTAAGAGTCCATGCATAACGAAAAGGTCATTTTGCTTCGTGCATTTTAGTGCTCGATTGTTCGTACAAGAGTAAATAATAATTCAGTCCCTGTATTTTCCAAGTTTTCGCAATACAACAACTTAGTTTTTCTGGTTTAGAAACCATTACCTAATCCCATGTTGTTTATAACTATTAATTCATCAAAATGTTCTGTTAATTTATTTATTTTTAAAAAGCATAGGGGAGGGATACGAGGTTTTTTAAACTAGAGGGGCTAACTAGTTGTTTCGCTTGATGTCTTGCATCTCTTCTTTGATGCAGGTGGTTTCAAGGGCAGTTTGTACTTGGTACAAGTACTAACTGGGTTTCACACTAGTGTTAAGCCTTAGAGAGGATATAAAATATTATGACATGTATTTAAAAGTTTATCCATGCCGTTAGGTATGGGTAGTCAATTTCCCACATCATCTCATGCTAAATTGACTTCAAATTGTAGGTCATCCATTTTGAGCACCGAGATGGCAATTTTGTTTTTGGTAACCATTTAGACATATTTTAATTAATTTTTTAAAATTTTAAAATTAATAATCATATAAACTTTTAATAATCCTAAAATTTTTACCATTTAAATCAATAACATCTAAAAAATAAATCCAAAAATTAATTAATTAAACTATATCTCTCAAAATTTTCAAAATGATAAATATAGCTTAAACAAGTGGTGGCATGTAGCTATTTGCACTAACAGGATTCTTCTTCAATGATATCATGGCACAAGTCAATTATGTCTAATTTTAGTTGCGTCGAGTTAAAAAAAAATTAAAATTTACATAATTTGATTCATTTAATTTAATAAGTTATTTCATGACTAGTTGAACTAATTAAAATCTAGTTTCATTTTATTTATATGATATCTTTAAATTTTTTTGAAAAACTAACTTGAATTAACTAATTGTATTTATATGATGCCATGAAAGGTTAAGTTACATTTTTTATATTATAATAATAAATTAACAAAAGTGCGCTCAAATTTGAAATGTCACCCTTTTTATTTTGCAAAAGTACTTATCATCAACCATGAGGTCATTATATTTACTTTTATTATAATTTATTTCTATACAACAAAATAATTTATTTCTATAATTTAGTTATTATAAAATCTAATACTAGATCTCAACAAGAATCAAAGAAATTAATGTTTCACCACATTATGAAATTCTAACACCATTGTATTTAGTTTTATAACCAATTTAATTATCAAGAATTTTTTTTAAAATAGTATTATTGAAAGGAAAACTATGAATTATTTTCAAAAATTAAGATAAAGCATCAAGTGACTTTTAAGAATGTTAAGTTATTAACTTTAATCTAAATAAAATTAAACTATAGAAAAAAAATTCTCATAAATGCATCAAATTAAATATATAATATTTCAGAAAGAAATTAATTTTATTATATAAAAATGGATTAGATCATATTTTTATTAAAAAAAAATATGTGAGGTAGGGATGAAACTAGAGAATTGAATTGAAAATCACAAAAAGGATTAAAAAAGACGAAAAGATAAAAATTTTAAAAAAAATTGAAAACGTTTGTGCTAAAAGAACACAAAGGTGAGACCACGCAAGAAAGAAGGAACCGAAGAGAGAGGGAGTGAAAGGGAAAGAAACACAGAGAGAAACCAAGAAAATAAACACACAAAAACAAAAAGAGAAAATAAAACTCTACTTTATTACACTAATTAGCAGCAAAAGCGAGCGATCAAGCTAGCTAATACTCTCAAAACCACAAACCTTCTCTTTCTTTCTCCCTCTTCTCAAATCAAGAACACCGAAAACTACATTCAATACCCGATAAAACAAGCCAGGAATCAAGCTCGAACTCTTCTATTTTGGCGAGGTTTAATCAAAGGTTGGTTTTTTCAAATTTTACTTGATTAATCTTTAAAACCCATTAATTTTATACCCGTAAAGTTTAGTTTTTGCACTTCATTGTCAATTTTTTTTAGGGGCTCTGCTTAGTTTGTTTTACTGATCCCTGTTTATAAAGTTGAATTTGTTAAAATTTGAAGTTGTTAGTTTGTGAATTGTGTGTATTAGCGTGAAAACTGAAGTGGGTTTTTGTTATTTTGACTGGTGCAGTGATATATGAAGAGAAAGGAGTTTGTTGTGTATATAAAGTTTGGTGATTTGAAGTTAGGGTTTTGATTTATTGTGTGTTTGAATGAATTGGTGTTGGTTTTGGGTGATTTGGATTGAGTTTTTTTTAGCGAGTTTGATCTCTTAGGGTTTTGGATGTTGTAAAGATGAGATTTGGGCTTGCATTGTATGGTTTGTTGGCGGGCGAGTTTCGGGTTATTTGGAAACAGAAATAGCTGTTTTCTAGGTTGAAAATCGTGGGTTTTTGTGATTTTGGTGAATGGTGGGGTTTGGGACTGTTTGTGCTGGAGACAAGCTGTGGTTGACTGTTGATTTGCTTTGAATTTGATATGTGGGTGTGGAAATTTGTGTTTTTGTGGAGACGAAGATAACAGTGATTGAGTGTGGAATTGGGGGTTTTGCGGCTCTGTTTTTGGATGGTATATGAATCTGTTCCGTGAGAAATGCAACCTTATCAGAGCTCCAGAGTTGATTTGGTTGAATTGAGAACTCAGATAGTGAAGAAGGTTGGAGTTGAGAGATCAAAGAAGTATTTTTACTACTTGAATCGATTTTTGAGTCAGAAGCTGTGTAAGAGTGAGTTTGATAAGTCATGTTTTCGCTTTCTTGGAAGGGAGAATCTACCACTGCACAATAATCTTATACGTTCAATATTGAAGAATGCCTGTCAAGTGAAGACGCCGCCACCAAGTTACGAGGCGGGTCCCACAAAATCTCCGATTCAAGCTTCAAAAAGTTCTCCTGTTCGAGAAGATGGGCATGAACAAATCGTGTCCCTTATTCCAAATCAAAGCATGCCCATTCGGCCTAATGGGATCTTACCAGTGTCCCCAAAAAAGGTTAGGTCAGTGACACGTGATCAGAAGCTCAGAGATAGACCCAGTTCACTTGGACCCAATGGGAAAGTTGAATGTATCTCACATCGATCAATTGGTACAGAAGATAATGGAATTAAATTTGTAGTGGAAAATGGGGAATTGGCTCCTTGTGATTATCAGAGACCAGTGCAGCATCTTCCAACAGCTGCTGAGCAACCTGAGAATGAAAGGGAGGGTTCAGCTCAATGGCCCATTGAAAGACCAAGGACACAGAACAAAGATCAGACTGCATTTGTGGAAGATAGAGATGAGGTGGGGCAGGCAAACCACCTGAGCTTCTCGAGAAGTCCTCTACTTGCACCACTAGGGATTCCAAATTGTTCAGCTAGCATGGGTGGGGCCCGCAAAGCTATGCCAGTTGCAAGCAGTGGTGATTTTGTTAGCTATTATGACAGTGGTGGATTGTCTGATACAGAGATGCTGAGGAAACGCATGGAGCAGATTGCAGATGTGCAAGGCCTTGGAGGGGTCACGACAGAATGTGCAAACACGTTGAATAAGATGCTGGATGTGCACTTAAAGAGGTTGATCAAGTCATGCATCGAGTTAGTAGGAGCACAGTCTCTGCGTGATCCAAGAAAGTACACTGTTCACAGGCAGCAGGTACAGAACAAGGTTGTCAATGGCATGTGGCCAAGTAATCACTTGCATATGCAGAGTAGCAGTGGTCCTGTTGAGGGTATGCAGGAGCAGAGGCCACATAGTTCAATATCTATGCTTGATTTCAAAGTTGCCATGGAGCTAAATCCACAGCAACTTGGTGAAGATTGGCCATTGCTGCTGGAGAAAATATGTATGCAGTCATTTGAGGATTGAAAACATACCTGTGAAGATTTGTTTATCCCAAAGCCATAATTGGGTCAGGCTGTCCTGGTTCAAAGGCATTGACAACTGTTGTTAGAAGCCATTGATGTACCCAGTTCTGTTTCTTGTTGCCAGTATGAACCAGATGGCTCCCCTTTTGTTGAAGCTCGGCTAGTGCAAGATGAAATTTGTGGGTTGAGCATCCAGATGGCTGTATTCTCCTGCCACAGATCCTGTATGGATCGGGAAATTATTTAGCAGCAACCAAGCCAGGGAAAGTTTCAAATAGAATGCCCTTGGTTGGCTGCTCTGTTGTACGATAAGCATGGGTGTTGGCTGTCTGCTGCCGTCACTACAGATCCGAAGCTCTTCTGTATAATTTACAGCCAACAAAGAGGTACTCTAAGACAGTTTTGCAGGATACACTTGTGTAGCTTGTTGAAAGGTAAACCACTGGTGTAAAGAGCTGTAGTGTTGCTCTTTGTATTTTAAAATCTGAAACGATTGGAATTCCAATATTAATAACAAATTGATATCCATTGACTTATCTTTCTTGTCATGTTTGAATTCTCATGTGAATGACCCCCGAAAATATCCCCAATAAAGCATTATTCTACCTATCGTGTACCCTCCAAGATTGTGGCTTTTCCATTCCGTGCCTAAACTAGCATAAATATGCTCTCACACGGGAATCTTAAAAGCTTTTACATGCCTGGACTAGCATAAATGTTATGCACTTGCAAAACGTGGAATTTGGCCATTCTTACATGCGCTGGTGTCACCATTTAACATATTCAAATCATGAGGGGAGATAGGAGAAGAATTTAATCCACGCAAGTTTTTATGGGAAAGAAGAAAAAATTCTGAGCTAGAGAGCAGGGATTTTCATGTTTTAATGATAAAGAAGTGGCCACATGCAAGTTTGTGAACAAGTGGTTGCTGATAATGAGCAAGGAATAGTGGCTTTCTGCTTGTTATCTGTTTCTTCACAGAACTCTATTTGCAGCAGTACTGGTTTCTCTCATCCAGTGGAAACTTAGCTGTTCAGTCTGCCATGAACTCTATAGGATCAGCTACAGGTAATATTTGCAAGAGAGATTTAAACACCTTTCTGAGATTCACTAACAGGCTAAAATTCCAGCACAGGTCGAGCCACCCGAATTCCATCTGTCAATCCTCACAGCACCGTTTGATCATAATGCAGAAACTGCCATTGAACTTGTTCTGAGATGTCCCGTAGAAGGCAGGATTTGGAATTTGTAAAATGGTATTCATATTTCTCATAAGCTCGTCTAAAGGTGGTGTACTGTATCTAGATTGCTATATTTAGCTTGGTCATCAGGAAAAATATATTTTGTTGGAGCTACAGTTTTTCACACTTTTTTCCCCAATCTTGTCAGATCCACTGAATGAGTTTTCCATAATCAAATGACTTTTGAAGAACCATGGACTTTAAAGAAGCTGGTTTCTCTGGTGTTCAAGAAAAGCTCTGCAATCAATTTTGCTCTGTTGATCAGTTACCATTTGCCTAAACTGATTATTTTGTTAGGAAGCTATGGCCCTTGTTATTATTTCATGGATATCCAGTTGCTTAGAGATCTGAACCATTGAAATAATGAAGTAATAGCCAGCAACTCGTATTCCTGTTTCATTTTCACTTCCAATTTTCTCCATTGAAGGATATCTTCGTTTCTTAAAATATCGCTTTCCATGTTTTCTGCTCTTGCCGGCCCTAAAAACACAGTATTCACTGTGACATCTTCCTCATGAAGGTCAAGTACATCATCAGGTGGGGTTTATTATTTCAGCAAGCTGATTCTTCTTTGCCTTCTTTCATTTCTCTTCTAAGCACTTCCGGGAAGTTATTTGGCCTCCATTAACCGACACGTTTCCTCTTCTACTCTTACTGATGTTTATCAGGTGCTGGTTTTCAATGAAACTGGTTACTTGAGATGGTATCTAAATTGACCAAATAGTTAGTAATGAATGAATTTCTTCATCTCATTCTCTATTTTAATTAAAATGAATTAATAATACTAGTGTGAATTTGTACAAGTTTCAAACCTGAATAATTTTAAATGGTAATAAAAAATCTTCAAGCCTAACTTGAAATCTTAAGTTTTTAGATTAAATTGGTTTTTTTGATATTTACATGTATTAGGAAAGAGACAGGGAGAGGGAGTTTAACAAATATTTCAGAAGTGTGTTGAGGATCAACTCGTTTGCTTCAGTTACAGGATCCGGATCAATCAGTGCACTGAACCTTTTTAAGAATGCTTCATCGTCGTGCCTGGATCCTGCTGTCAACTTGTGGAGATCCATCAAGATTTCTGCATGAAGAATGTAGCTGCTCCGTGTTTGGATGAAAATGAGATAAATCATGTTGATTGCTAATGAGCTGAAGAAAGATTAGAACTTACAGTGCTCCTCCAATTTCGACAGAAGAAAGTACTGTCTTGGACGTGTTCAGCTCGTTTGGGACTCGCGTAGTTTTTTCTTTCCCCATAAACCAGACATATTATTGAGAAAAAACACCTACATGACAAGCATGAAGGTACGAGGCAGAGAGAAACATACAGAATAAATGGAGAAAGACAAAACACAACTCCTAATCGGGTTATCAGGTTTCACCGAGTTAACTTTTAAATTAATTTGAAAAGAAATCCGGCTCAATTAAGATTCAGGTTGACACACAGCTCAACCCACCTACGGTGTTTAATAACTATGTTTTAGGGTGAAAAACATTGGTTCTTGAACCTGCCCTCCTTCCATGTGTTGTCAATTGGAAAACAAGGCAGTTTAAATAGTTGTTTTTATCATTTTGATAGAGCCGTCAACCTCTGTTTTATCTTTCTAATTTCCCTTGTGTTAATTAATTATCCCATAGGTAGTGTGAAGTGGCCATGCCATGCTAAGCTGCCATTTTATATGCCCCCATGGCCCCTTAATAGCCTAAGCCCATGTTCCATGGCTCGATACACAGATGCTTTTGGAACAATTTTTCTTCACCAGGACCTACGCCTCCCTCGTATTACAAATTATGGATGCCCTTGTTTAGTATACCAGCATTCAATCATGATTATCAATAACCAAAGTTATTAAGTCCATATCGGTCCATTACTCGAGCCAAGTCTAGGTGATGTATCTCGCTAGGTTAATCATAGGCCGGGTTTAAGACATTGACAACAAGCATAAGCTTAGCTTGTGCATGTTCAACTTGGCTGTAGACATGGACTGAAAAAACATGCAAAGATTCCTTTATTCCGTAGAGAGGCTATGGTTAACTTCACGCAAGCAAGTTACTTGATAAAAGGATCATCACCCCAACAAGGCACACCAATGCCGAAAGTAATCTTAAATGCCTTGAAAATTGGTCAATCTAGGAACATGTATATCACTTTGAAAGACCATATTTGTCCCAAAAGGCCAGAAACAAACCATGAAATTTTCGTTCGTGTTTCTTTTGTTTTGTGTAGACAAGTGACCTATGACTGTGGAGGCTTTACAGAGCCTGAACTTATTAGTCTTTTGAAAGAGAATTGTTATGTACATAAAAGAAAACTTATCAAAGAAATATATGGAAGGGGACAGACTTTTTTGTACAAAATGGAAAAGTCAATCGCCTGCATCTAATTCATTAATCGATTACAAGGATGGCAGTGGTGACGAGGATGAGGAGGAGGGAGCTGCTAATGTCTTGCAAATAGGGCACCAGTTTTTCAGACTTAGCCATTGATGTATGCAGGCCACATGATATCTATGCTCACATGGTAACCTTCCCACTTCATCTCCGTCAGCATACTCTTCCTGCAATACTAAAAAATTAAGCATCATGAGAAACAAGGTGATAGATAGACACACAGGGTTTGGTACACTGAAATAGCCAAATAAATATGCTCATTTTCATTCTAATAACTTGCTCCCAAGTGTAACTAACAAATGCCTGTACTTTTGGCTTCTTCAAAACCTGATTTACGAATTATCTTAAAATTATTGTGGTTGTTATTTTTCTCGAAGATGTATAAGGACCTCAGACTTGTTCTGCCTGTAACTAAATTGAACCTACAGGTGAGAAACCAAAATGGCCAGGTTTAGCACAATTTGCTTCCGCATAAAGTTACCATGTTAATGTTTTGAACCCTTCGTTTAAAATGACTTTTGAAATTCCAAATCAGTGAGAGGCATATATTAGACAACAAAAAACAAAAATAGAAACGAGTAAGAAAACAAATTAAAAAGAAAACAGGAAAGGAAGAACATAGGAAAACTAATGAACAGAAAAAGACCTGACAGATGCTGCATCTGATGTCATCTTTATCCCCTTCAAGGTTTGTAGTCGCATCCTCCATTGGAGTGGACTCATAAATGCTAGTCTTAAGGCATTCTGAAAATGCTTCCTCTGTTAGTGCCGTGCTCACAGTACCCATTCTCTCTTCAAGAGCTAATAATTCCTGTCAGAATAGGAATGATGTAAGGTTACAATGGCTAAGGATGACATAGATTGTTGAGGTAACTTTCAACTCAAAAAGTAAGTGTTCATAATAAAATTGGTTGATGAAGCACAGAAGTTTTGATAACAAAAGAAAAAGAAACACGTGAGCACAAAAAGTATGGAAGGAGGTAAAGAAGTACAAGGAATCTCAAACCTCATACGACATATTGTCAATATCCAGTCTCATCTCTCTGTGTTGATCATAGAAGTTCAGTCCATTAAGAACCAAATTGGTCTCCAAAACAAGCAATTGCTGCAAGACAGCAAAGAAGAGTCAGGCACGTGTATGGAACCAGATGAAATCAAAATGCCAAAATTTTTACCAACCTCATATGTTAGCTCTTCATCTTGTTCAATCCTCTCAAGTGCCAATAATACCTGTACAAAATCATTTAACCATCGTCTTCAATTAATGATATGATAGCAAGAAAACATGGTGAAACCAAATATGGAATAAATACCTCAGCAATTCCATCCATGTTGTGGTGCCGGAAGCTCTCTCGATTCATTAAAGATCGGGCATTACTAGCTTCTGCTGGACTGGATGGCGTAATACCCCGTAAACTCCCACTTCTACAGCCAGGTCGACTATAAGAACTTGGGCGACTTAAAGAGGCTTCCATAGAGAACTGGTGTGATGAACTAGGAGCATTCAAATCCAGGGATATATCAGGTTGAGACATTAGCGGGATCTCATTTGCTGATAAATTGTTTCCACCTCCTTGGTTAGAAAACCTTGTCCTTGCGTAGCCGCTGAGTGGTCTTCGAGTCCTAACTGATGCTGCGCTGCTATCCCTGTTCAAAGGTCCAGTTCTGGATCGCCTTGAATCAGAAATGGAGATACCAGGACTTGAACTAGCACTCCGCCCTTCTAATGATGTTCCAATCATCTTCTTCCCTCTGGCAGAGGAACTACTTTCTACATCACAAACTCTCTTTTTGACCATGTCTTTCCTTCTACTTAGATTTGAATCTGATGATGAAGAACCTGAAGAGGCAGCATCAGATAACGTGTTGCATCTAGGATTTTTGAGACCATACCTGCTGGCATTCAC